CTCTCTACGAGTACAAAAACAATTTTATGTTACCGTCACTAATGTTCCCTTCTTTAATTATCTCCCTCTATATCTATGTCTATCTCGCTGACTTTCTTTGCCAGGCTTATATACTAAAAAAGAGGGCGTCTAGCAAACACTCGTACATTCGCGGGGCTTCCCGATAATTCGAGAAACTCCATCGCGCATGCTCCCAGCGTCATGCGATTTCCGCTGTCGTAACAATATGTATGTATGTTTGGACTTTAAAAAAAATGATTTACATCGATAAAAACAAAAGTAACTTTAAAAAAATAAAATAAAGGTTATAATATGACTACTGTTACATACCGAACAGGCGGTTTGTACCCATGGCTCTCCGTCTATTTGCATTGGAAATCTCTTTTTTGTCCTTAAGGAAAGACCCAACATTTAACCTCATAAGTTACACAATTTAAATATTAAATTTTTAGACAAGAATACGATTCTTACTTAAATCTTGGGGATGAAAAATATTAAATGTATTTCCCAATGTATTTTGCTCTTTAAAATTTACGTCCACAGTTAAATCTTAATTTTAAAATGTTTTGTTTACAGTAAAATATAATATTTTTTGAAATATTAGAATTTAAGTTGAGAACTAAGAAGGTGAAAAGTATTATGAATATATATTGCTAAACTCCACTTTACCTTATCATAACTGATGAACATTGTGCTAAACGACGACCAGACCCTCGAAGTCCAGCTTTCACTTGGCCTACGTGCATACAGTTTTCCAGGCCAATAACCTCGATCAACATATCTCCAATATCTGACAGTAAAAATATGTATATCCATGAATTGTGCAATAAAAAGATATACTATCCAACATGGCTTGAAAACGAAAATTTCTAGACAGATATTGAAAGTCCAGTTAACAAGGACATGATTAAAATAATTAACAGTTTTTGAAAGGTTGGAATTTGTTTATCTCCGCGTTGAGTATCCCTATACAAGGTTCATTCTCTGTTTTCTGTAGAAGTCTAACTCTAATTGTATTCTAATGTAATTACTAACCAATAATCTAAGCTTATCTTAACCCATCTTGTTTTTAACATAACGCATATTGGATGAAATGGAAGAACAAAAGTCTAGAAAATTCTACATTAAAACAATATTACAAAAAATACAGATTATTCTCCACTTCCGATCTGCTTACAATCTGGCTAAGTAACATAAATATATTTCCAAAAAAGTAGCTTTAGTTGTTTTTTTTTCTCGATATTTTGAGACTGAATTGCACTGAAGATATTAATAAGATAATATGATCAGCTGCTTGAAAATAGAAAAAAAATGTTTGAAATAAATGTTCAACAAACGCTGTCTACCTATCAGTCTTTGCGTGACACGTAACTTAAAAATATCCCGCACCAAAACAATGAATCATGCTTTCCTTGGGAAATCAATCTTTTTTTATTTTGCTTTGTTATAATTAGTTCTAACAACGAGCATATAAGATGCTATGACTAACCTTAAAATTGCTTTTTAAAGAAAAATAATTTTGCAGGTGAACTAAGTTATGAAGCGTTGATGCATGTGGCTTTCCCGCCTTTAATTATTATGAGCTTCTGATCATCGTAATCACAATAGATATTTAAAAAATGAGAAGGATTAGCGAAATACGAGTGCGTATTGCACAGTTAAATATATAGAAAAATAATCATTTATAGGTAATAATAAATACTTCGTTTAATATTTTATTTTTTGTCGATGAATAAACAGCTCTTCAAAAATTCTTTTTTAGCCACATGATACAAATTTGTATATTCTTGCTCTCTCGTTGGTGGGACATTTTAACTTATGTAGTCAAAATGACCAGAATTCAGTCTCGTGACGAGAATAAATTACTTTATTTCCTAGTTTAATTTTTGTATAAGCTCTAACACTTGTACACTGTCGAAAAATGTTATAGGCCTATGTTAGAAATGAAGTTCAAACCTCTCTGACAATTTAGAACTAACATAAAACCAAATCAAAATATTTGCACAAAGTAACCACTGTAGCTAACACACTGACTGAATCATTCAACTATCTTCTTGAAAAACTCAATACACTTCACAACTCTTTCGTATTTATAATCTACTTTCGAATTTACGAGAAAAACTTGAGATCAGTTTATAACTTACTAAGCGTTCTAGGCCTATCTCGTTCTACTCGCCCTTCTTGATAACTTGCAAATTACAACATTAAAAAATATAGCTTACAAAAATAATAACGAGGAAGCGGATCTGCAAGTAAATTGTGGTGTGTAAATCTGCAAGATTGATTTTCATTTTTCTGTAAATGTTTAAGAAAACAAATGCATTTAAACCTCCAAATTTATAATTATGTAGATAATTTCGCAACTTCTAAGTTCTGATGAATACATCATTCTGATACAAGGAGGAGGTTTAAAGGTTGATACTCATAATCAGTAATTCTTATTCATGGGATTTTTTTATCAATTAGGATATTTGAACCTAATAATGTTACATAGCTTTTACACTTAGAAAATACATAAATTATTTATTAAATTTAACATAATGGAAAAAGATTAAGTTGTGTTTTTACATCATCGCCCTCTCACACAAGGAAACTTGTTCAATACTAATCACTGCATTCATCCAAGACCTGGTGTTTAGAGCGCTGAACTTGTAATCTTAGTGTCGTGGGATCGAATCTCAACGCTGAAAATGTTCACCCTTTCAGGCGTTGGAGCGTTATAATGTAACGGGCAATCCCACTATTCTATAGTAAAAAGTAGCCTGAGAGCTGGTGGCCAGTAGCCTTCCCTATGGTCGGCAGTTCAAAGTTAGTGAAGGTGGAAGATAGACTTAGTAACTGTATGATGAACAAAACATACATACAAACAAGCATTCATAAAATTTGTGAAAACCATAAAGAATGTTTTATATTATCATCGTTTTCACTCAACTGTTGGAACCACCTAGCAGATAAAATAAAAATTAAAGACTATAAGTTCAGATACGTTGTTAATGTAGACCAATCTAGAGATATGGTTTATCCAGAATTAATTTTTAAAAAGCTACTACGTTTGTATTGATGAAAAATATCTTATTTATCCTTGAGATTAAACGCTCGTTTCATCACCAAGTATTATGTTTAGAATTGTAGCATGTCCGTTCGTGACAAAAAGCATATTTCATGATGTGATTGTTTGACTTTTCCAACTTAAACTTTATTTATTTCTGTCCGTCCCAGAACCGCATGACTGAAATTGAATTTCAACTTTTATAATTATATGTACTGTCATCTTTAACCCATGTCTTCCTGTTTACTCTTCATTCAAACAAAAGAAAATGTCTTTAATTATGAACTTGTGGTTCGCTTGATGAATATTAATAAAACTCACTATAACAAGTTTCCCGACTTTTGCAGATGTATTATTGAACCAAGTTTAAAGTATTCGACAATGTTTAAGATGTAATCGTAAAATGATAGCCCTTAAAACAAAGTAATAATTTTGTATCAACTAATAGCCTTTCAAGGCTTCAAGCACGTTAATCGTTAATCATATTTTACAGTGAAAACATAGACAATTTTAATATGTGAGTTGTCATATACATCTGAAACTGTGTCTTCAGTGTTTGTTCAGATTTTCTGCATAAGGCTACAAAAAAGGTATTTGCCTCTAGCCATCCTTAATTTTGCATTAATAGACTAGAAGAAAGGCAGATAGTACATGGTACTCACAGCCGACTCTCAGATTACTCTTATAGCACATCCCTGGTCCCAAAGCGCGGATCGCGTTTTTGTAAATGAGCCTTCGTATTCATAATTCAATCACGCTTTCGCCTGGCATGACCAGGTGGTTAGGGCTCGACTCGCAATCTGCGGGTCACGGGTTCGAATCCCCATACCACCAAACATGCTCGCCCTTTCAGCCGGGAGGGCGTATAGTGTGACAGTCAATTTTACCACTAAAAGATTGGTAAAAGATTAGCCCAAGAGTTGACTGTGGGTGATGATGACTAACTGTCTTTCCTCTAATCTTTCATTGCTAAATTAAGGACGGCTAACGTAGATAGCTCTCGTGTAGCTTTGCGCGAAATTCGGAAACAAACAAACAATCAATCATGCTAACCCTAGGTCTTCATTGGGGATTAAAGATATTTTAATGAAATTCTATAAATTTAGAACTTTAGCTTCACAATCTATTTATAATTTTTTTTAGTTGTAAGTTCAAAGTTTGTTACATACTATACAAGATTCTGGTTTGATGAATTTTCCCTCTTAGCATCTTCTAGTGGCATCTTTAGAGGTCCACATCGCTCCACAGTTTTGTTAACATAAATATAATCGTTACGCACTTTGCTATTGCAAGCAAAAGACGAAACTAGTCCTTCCAAAGTCCAGAGTAGAAAGTTATACATACACAGTTATACAGTACGTTTTACTTCATACCAAGTAAAGTAGATTATCAGATTCGTCGAAAATTAATTTATTCAAATTTTCGTTAATTTCTGCAGGCATAAAAAGCCAAAACTGGGAAATAAATCGTCCCAATTAGACTGATAACAATTTATACACTTTAATTTTAAGTTGATCAGTTTTAAGGGAATGTACGTGAATATCATTTTAAACACATCATGTCTTTAACAGTCTCTACCAACAAGGCCTTTCGGTGAACAAGAGTTCATCAGACTGGTCTGACCGCATTGCTCACTTTTTGTCGACTCCCAGTTTATCAACGGCACAGATAAAATTATCTTTATCCAAAAAAATATTGTTAATTGCAACATCTTAGTTTCTTCAGGTCTTATTGCGCCTGTTTTTCTAAGCTCATCTTTTTATTTCTATATTTCAAGTCAAATTGAGACTTTTAGACATGAAGACTACAAATACTCCTAGATGTTACTAGAACTTAGTGAATTTCTTTCGAGAAGTCCTTGCTGGCTATGTAATAAGGATTTTGAATTTTATCTTTTAAGTTACTGATTTCTCAACCATATGCTCTTCTCTATTTACTGTAAATGTTTCATTTATCCAACAATATCACCATTATGCTATTTGGTTGTATTAAGCAAGTCACATCTTCAGATGTTCATTTTCGCTGCCTACTACTTTTATGCTACTACTACTACTATCATGCTAAGACGTTTTGGTAAGATACATTTAAAAGAATATTCCAATGGACCGAAAACGTTAGCTTATATTACATCAACGTCACTGATGGGGTGTTTTCTTGGCTATTTGTTAGTTTATGAGCTTGTTTGTTTGTTTGTTTTGGAATTTCGCCCAAAGCTACACGAGAGCTATCTGCGTTAGCTGTCCCTAATTTAGCAGTGTAAGACTAAGGGAAGGCAGCTAGTCATCACCACCCACCGCCAACTCTTGGGCTACTCTTTTACCAACGAATAGTGGGATTGACCGTCACGTTATAATGCCCCCACGGCTGAAAGGGCGAGCATGTTTGGTGGGATGCGGATTCGAACCCGCGACCCTCAGATTGTGAGTCGAGCGCCTTAGCCACCTGGCCATGCCGGGCCTAGTTTATGAGCTAACTCAGAAATATATCTTTTCCATAAAAATAAAACATTATAAAAATTTAAGTTCTGTTTTCCAGCAACACAACTTATATGAAATGTCAAAATGTATTTTAAGTACTTTACTTGCACCAGATTGGGATATACATAAAGCTAAAACAGAAAATATCAAACATACATACTGTTTGAAAAACACATACTTCAAGAGTCATTTGTTCCCTATCATTGGTTAGGCATTAAACTGCACTGTTAGGCACTACCTTTCGCTGCTAAATGTTACCTTGCACTGCAACGCTCAGGTCAGTTGGTTGAAGGGTGTTAACTCGCCCGTCGTTTTCTTTTGTTTTCTTCCTCCGTTTGGGTTTCTTCTTGTGACTGGGGTTGTCTCCCCAGAGGTTGGACCCTCCATAAATACTGGGAATATTGAGGACTGCAATCCCTTGAAGAGATGGCCCATTGGCTAGATCAAGAGGCTGACCATCACACTGGAAATAAAGAGGAAAATGTCATAAGTGTTAAGCAAGTCCACATTGGCTTAGTTTTGAAGCGACTAAATATTGTTTGTCATAAGAAGTAAAAAATGTATAAATCCAAGAAATTGGTGTAAGTTCTTGACTAACGCTTCAACCAACATTAATCTCTGTCTACATCAATAACCTTCCGTTTTGATGTTCATTTAAAGCTTAAGTATCATTTCTGTGACATCAGAGAAGTTCTATAAGGATTACAGCAAAAACCATCACCTCCAAGTTACTAACTAGTTCCCAAGCTCTCCTGAAACTGCTGCTTGGAGGAATTTCATCTACAGGGTGTTTATAAGTAAAACCTTGCATTTTAGATGATTATATCTTAAACATTACTCTAATATACTACTTCCCTAACTCGGTTTTCTTGCAGCTTTTGTTTATTGTTTCTTTTCTTTTTCAAGAAAAAAATATTGTTAATTTGAATATAATGCATGCCGGTGTCCAGGATATTTGGAGATTCAATAAATACTGTTCAAGACAGATAATGGCTGCAGTAGTATAATTTAGGGATAGGCTTCATATGCTCATTAAAAATGACGGAAAGCATACTGAACCCCTTGTGTGACAATGTTTAAAACACACTGCACCATGCCTAAACTTTCCTAAATATAACTTATAATCCTCAATATGACTCTGGTAAAGTTTATTTTGAACCGGTACCTATTAAGAATATAATCCTTTTAAGTATGAGGCTTTCTTTATAATTACCCTCTAGGTTCTCGTACTAGGATTTCGGTTAACTGATCTGTCAGATGTTTCCATTTTTGCTCAAAAGCTCCAAAAAAACAAAAACAAAACGAAATACGTTAAAGGAAAAAAAGTTACTGAAATTTTTTAGATATATCTAAGTATTATTTCAGTTCCAACAGTAAATAACACACAATATTTAATAAAACCCAACTATTTTCATATCTTTCAACCAAACGCAGACACCATATCTCATTGGTGTCCATTTACGCTAATAGGCCTGCGTGGCCAAGGGTTATCATTCCCGGACTGTGAATCTGGGGGCTCGTGGCCCGCTGCTGCAAGAAATCGTTCCGCAGTTTCAAGCCATCCGTTAGATATGAGTAGCCCAAGAATTTAAAATTGGGGACAGCTATGCACCGATAATCTTGTGTAACCATGCGCGAAAATTCTAAAAGAAACAAACCGTTATGGTTAGAAATGGTAACATTCGAGAACTACACGAATCCCTTTATTTGATATTTTGATAAAGACATGTATTAGAGGAGTATCAACATGCACATGTTTTCCCATGTCTATGATTGATTTTATAACGCGAATAATACACATGAATCTCATTGAGTTAGCTTTATATGAAAACCGTAACTTTACGATCACTGTATTCGAGAAAAAAAACACACAGGAAAACTACAATCTTCCGAACTTCCTTATAGTTCATACTTATTGAAGAAAGTAACTTTTAATTGTTGGGTTATACAACTTAAAAAATTGTAAAAGAAAAAAAAAAGATGCTGAAAGAAGGATATTTGTCTCAGAACTTTTGCACAAAGCTACACAAAAGTTATATATGCACATAGCATGTAAATTTTTAAACTTATAGACTAGAGAAAAGGCAGCTAATCAATAGCACCCATCGTCAATTTTTGGGCTAATTTGTCAGATTAAATAGTGAGGTTTTATTATTACTCTTCTTACTTGCACACGGTCTCAAAGTTCTCAGTGCATTTTGTGGTTAAGAGTCAAGAACCGTGGACTCTCAGATTCACAGTCTGGGTACAGTAACCACTAGCTCATACCTAGCCTACTTATTCAAGAATATTGTAGAAAGGTTTTAGTAAAATGACACAGATATATTTTTTATTTTCTATACTCACATCTGTTCCGAGTCATGAAGTTCCTTATATAGTACTTCATAATTTTTAAATACATACGTGTGTGTATGTGTATTGTTGAGATTCAAACACTTACGTATTTAGTTCTACGAATTACTAAGATATGTAACTTTCATGGATGTCTGCAATTCAGCAGAGGAACTTGAAAATAATTTTCTGTCAATAATGAAGTTACAGTATTGTGTAATTGAATTTTGTGAAAACTAATCCCCACCAAATGTTGTTTGATAAAAATATTTTTGAAATACCAATCGTATAGACTAGCAAACTGTCCCTTATGAGTGCAGAACAACAGAAAAAGTTATATCGTATGATGAACTGGTATAGATATTTTTAATTTGAATATCAAATGGACAAAACAGCCACGTCAGAGATTCATTATAATGTTCTATAATTTGTCAACCTTATGATTTCTAAGGTTAAAAAGAATTGTAAAATAAGGTATAATTACATAAATAAACCAACCGTTATCTCAATGTCATCATGTAAATTCTTGCACGTAGCAAAGAACGTTTCGGATGTAGCAAATTCAAAGTACCATATTTTGTTCTTCATTCTGTTAAAAAGAAATAGAAACGAAACTAGAGATAGGACATTCCTCATAATAATCTTTTTGACAAATAGACAACCAGAAAGTGCTTAGAAGATTCACACATTAATTACAAAATTCAATGAATTTCAGTGATAAAAGTAACCCTAACACTTGAGAAGATGGAATAACTGGCATAATTCTCTAGCAACCAATGGATGAGTGTTACTGTGTTTTTGACTTTTATGTAAGTTAATAGCATTGTCCCGTTGTGAAGAAGTAAGTCTAATATATGATCCTTGCATGTATACACACGCTTCACAATAGTTCAACAAGTACATTGTCTAGTGGAGGAGAATTAACTGGCACCTCGTTTGACTCTTGAAATTCTAAAAATATTGTTCATCTTAAAGATGACAAATCGATGTGAAATACTGGTATAGTTGCTTAAAATTATTTTCATAGCTCCTTTCCGTAAAGAAAAATGTTATGATACAGCCAGCGCAATGCTAAAAGCAATTGGAATGAAAACGAAGAGAATATCATTAAAACAGAATATGATTAAAATGTTGTAAGAATGAACGAGAAGTCGCACTGAGTGATATCTATTGAGTACGAATGTGACTTTAGAAATACTGTAATATCTTAAGTCGTTTTGATTCTTCGCAATAATTAATTCCTAATCTTCTGTGTATTTGAATTCTTAGTTTGTAATTTGAATTTCGTACATTATACACCAAGCTTAGAAAACATTCTAAGAGATCTAAGAAGATGCAACTTTCGCTGGATTAGAACATTGAAAGGCAGTGTAACTTAATTAATAAATATCAAGTAAAGATTATAGCAGTGCAGGGTGCTAAAGAAATATTTTAATTAAGTTCCAGTTTAGACTGTGAATTGTTATTGATTCAATTTGTACTTGAAATAAGGTTTCCACTCAGACGAGTAAAACTGATAAGGAATTCTTTAGCGAACTTCTCATAATGAGAAGTTCAATTTCAGCTTTGTTTAAATCATGCATTGTTTCAATCTTTTCCCTCTGACAAGTATATTTGTCTGCCGATCAGCAAGTAAAATCCTATAAGCACTCTGATGGAATTGAAAAATTTAATTGGGAATTTGCTTAATCCTTCACTGTCAATTTGGAATTTGTTTAATTCTACTCTATTTATGGAGTTCTTTTGGTGACTATAGTCATTTGATAAATAACAGCTACTTTTTTATGCACGTAACTGGAACTGAAAGGTTTAATTTCGATTATTTTTATCTGTCTTTGATCAGCAAATTCCTTTGAATGTACAAAATAAAACCTCTTGAAGATCTTGTCATGGTGAATGAATTACTTTAAACGTGATTTTTTTTATGAAATGTTTGTTTCTGAAACTTTTAAGAACATAACCTGTGGTACTTGTCATTATAGGTGTCATACAAAAACTTGTACCTAAGTAACTGATTTTTTTTTATTTATGTATAGCAGAAAAAAGTTTAGAGAAATAAAAATTGAAAGAAATATTGCATTATGATGAAAACTAATTGTGTTTTATATTAGTAAAATTGTACAAAAAAGTAACTAAGGCCTAGTCTAGTCTTGGAGTCCACCTATCCAAATTAGACCGGTTTTGCAGGATTCCACTGTTCATCAATAATAAAAACCATATAAAATATCATGGTGATAAAGTGCAATTTATGGCGATGTAGAATGCGAATAATATTTCGTGGCAATGTTATTTTTATCGGTTAATTTGGGTGTTATCAGTGAGCTGTCTTTTGAAATACAAATAAACTTGAAAATCATAAATAAGTGTCAAACGTACAAGCTCTTGGAAACCTTTAGATAGCCAGTTCTTCTTACGTATCACATGGAAACCTTTAGATAGCCAGTTCTTCTTACGTATCACATGGAAACCTTTAGATAGCCAGTTCTTCTTACGTATCACATGGAAACCTTTAGATAGCCAGTTCTTCTTATGTATCACATGGAAACCTTTAGATAGCCAGTTCGTCTTACGTATCACATGGAAACCTTTAGATAGCCAGTTCCTCTTACGTATCACATGGAAACCTTTAGATAGCCAGTTCTTGTCTCGTTTTACAATGTAACTTAAATTTTAAAAGAATTAGCGACAATTTGCCCTTATTAGTCCAATGCAAATAACACAGTGTGCCATGTAGATCTACACACTACGATGACGCGTTACATACAAATAATTATAAGGCACGTGTCTAGATTGAACGCAATATATTTTTTGGGTAAATACTTTCCATGTTTTTTATGAGTCACGTATTAAATTAAAACGAGAAAAAAATGTGCATCTGAGTAAATTTACAAAAAAAAAGAATCTACGAAAAGTTATGTGTAAATATGGTAAATTGTGTATAGTCACTCAAACTGATTCTTTTCAAGACCAGCCAGGTAACTCCATGTTCTTAGCCTAATTTTGCTAGAAAAATAATTCTTAGATTTTGTTTAGAACTCGTGCTAAGTTACCGGTTAGAGTATCAATTAATCTGATGCAACTTTCTATATTGCACATGATCAAAACTAAATTATATTATTTGCAATATAGGTATAAATAATATATCGTTTATTTAAACAATTAAAGGTATGAATAATATATCGTTTATTTAAACAATTAAAAGTATGAATAATACATCGTTTATTTAAACAATTAAAGATATGAATAATATATCGTTTATTTAAACAATTAAAGGTATGAATAATATATCGTTTATTTAAACAATTAAAGGTATGAATAATATATCGTTTATTTAAACAATTAAAGGTATGAATAATACATCGTTTATTTAAACAATTAAAGATATGAATAATATATCGTTTATTTAAACAGTTAAATAAACATTATTCAAAAAATACCTGCTGTTGAATTTTTCAGGATGTTTTTCTCTTTCTAGATGGAACTTTATGGCAATCGACGCATCCTGTTGACAATTATAATAAACCATTTTTCAATCTTATCCGTAAAAGTATTTTGCTTTAGATAAACACAGTAAATATTTTATAAACTATTAATTTCACCTTATGGCAAAAGTTAAGTTGTACATAACAGCGTTATATTAGTTGATAAGTAATTTGTTTGAGCAAGCAAACATGGAATGCTTAAAAAGCAGTGAAAAGAATGGTGAACTACGTCTTACACGTTAAGTGATACTTTTTTTTAATGATAACTAATTTTTAATTATCCGGATTCTCTATATATGTACGTACACACAAAGAGGGGTATAATTAAAAAGCTAAATTTGATGTGGTGTCGGTACGGTACTTGTCATAAGTTAGGTGGTACAACTAGAACTTCCAAACTTACAGTGAGAGAAAATTTGAAATATAGAGCTTCTATGTCTGGAATAAAGGAGGTAACCATAGAAACCATATTTTAATCTATCCGAGAGAATTTGAGGCATTTACCACTCCAATGGAGAAATAGTTGTTGAAAATATTGCACGGTATAGGATCTCCTTTTTCTTCTGTGTTATCAGCGGTTGTGATGTCGATTCTCCATCTGTCCATTGGCACCGTCGTGGATTTTTCTATTTTGTTCAATATCTTGTCAAGGCTCTCGTTCTCGTAGCCTGAAATATCAGAAACCCAACAACTTTCAAAAGATCTATCTTGACATATCCAAAGTATATCACTTCCTTCTTGTAATAAAGTAAAAAAGTTGATAATTGTTTCCATGCATTCCATTAATTGTGTATAAAATATGTTGTAATGTATGAAATATGTGCTAATTCAATTTAACTACATCTCTGAACAAAAGAGAAAAATTCATCTTGAGCAAAGAATGAAAAATAAACCAAAAATGTAAAGTAGATTAATATATCTTAAACTGAATTTCCACATTTTTAAATGAAACTCGTCACACCTTATTTTTGGAGTTTTCTGATAACATAAATTATATTTTGTGTTATAAATTGGTAAAAGTAGTGTTACAATTTATGATAAAGCTCTCCTCTGTACAGAATAATTGAAATTAATTGTTGTTGTGCCATCAGGTAGCCTTAAAGCATATTTATGAAATTATCGTTGTAGCAAACTGATACCGAAATGATTAATGTTGAACATAAATTTTCATTTTGATATTTAGAAAATTTATAACAGATTTTATATCAATAATTTTCAACTTATATTCTCTAATAAATCAAAAGTATAAAGGATGGAGTACCCCTTAAACAGACAGTTCTTCCTATTCATCAGTCTGTCTTGTTCTTGATTTACTTTTACAGTAGCTGAATAGAACGTGTCGTTTATATACTGTGAGATTTAAAGTATATTTTTATTATTATAAATTATTGAAAAATTCACAAAAGATACCAGTTAATTATCATTTTGACTCACCGGGTCCCCACCGTAAACATCTTGCTAGATCGTTCCCTGTACCCAATGGCAGAATGCCGACAGGTGGTGCTTGGAGAAGGTTCATTTTGTCTATATATATATATATATATATTCACACAAAAAATAGTGAAAAATAAAAATAGACAAAAATTTTATTTTCAAGAACATACAAGTAAATTTGATATGAAAAAAATGCAATAAATATTCAATTCACAAAGTAGCAACTTTAGTCTTAAAGTCAGCCAAATCGTAACAAAATAATGTTGTTTTGTTCGATAGCAAATGTATAATTAGTCATATTTTAGAATTAATACAAGGATGATATTCAGGAAACTACGATAAAGTGGGCTGTCTTGTGTCCTTACGTTCAATTTTCTAATTTTTCCTTCTGTCTTTAATTTCTTAATCTGGATGGCACAACCCTACCTATTGTGTCCAAGACCCAGCCGACTGTTCCGTCCCCACCACAACAAAGCACTCGAATGTTCGGGACATCTTTATAAAACTGTAGCCTATAAAAAATATTCCGATAAATTTTCAAAGTGATTTTCTTTGCGATAAAATCTAAATATATTTTGCTCTGTATCTATGCAGCAACTTTTGTAAAATAAACATCACTTAATGAACGAAACTTGTTCCTAATAAACATCCAGCTAGAACAATTTGAATTCATATTCCTAGAACTAATAAAGATGGGGGTAAGAGGATAACTCAAAGTGTTGTTCAAACATCCCTGAAGGATACGAGGGAACAGAAAGTTGTTTCAGAACAGATGTGACTTTGTTTTCACTGTCTTACTTTAATGAAATATTGGAAGCACACGACTACTGAAAACATTTTCTGTTCCTATCGCTCCTTTATCTGTGACATATAAAATGTTGTTTTTAGTTTAAGTTAGCGTTAAATGTTTATATTCAGTTCTTACATTAAAATAAACTAATAATTCAAACCAGGTATGTCAAATTAGTATTTAAACATAAGCTCTGAAATAATCATTACTTCGGTGCTAATAACAATGTTTTAATTATATAATCAGAGCATCTGAATTTAGTGTTTGATGTTTACTTTCAATATCAATAATCATTTAAACAGTACATTTGAAATGTATATTTAGTGCTTATGTTTAGTGTTTACAATAAAATTAGCTAAAATGTTTCGGCTGCTTATCTGCTATCATCTTCAGGAAAGTCCTGAGAAGAACGTTTTTATATATTGGTTAAGACAGGGATTCGGATCTGAATTTTCGTATTAGAAAGGTTCGTGTGTTATTCATTCTTCCGACATTTGTATAGTCTCAATACGAGTATCCAGGTTTTTCTGACTTCTATGCTAAGTTGACTGAGTGTGTGCTATCACCATAACTCTCCTTAACATTGGATACTGTGAACATAAAATAGATAAACACTAAGAACAAACAGAAAGAAACTTACAGACGTACTTCCATAATCCCTTATGTCAAAGGTATCTTTAAAAACGTACAGAAGATACGTAACCATCAGAAAGTAAGAAGCATAAGTACGAGTCACACCACATTACGGCCGCAACCCGTACAGACTAAACCAAAAATACCATTTACAACATCCTTTGTAAATGTGGAATTCAACAAATTGGAAGACTTACAAAATCAGAATTCAGGCTAGTTAAGACGACCTGTAACGAATTTATTATTAGATATTTATTTCAATATCAACGTTTGTTTAAATTAAATTAATATTTAGAAACATACATAGCTTATAGTGTTAAATATGTATTGCAAAATTCCTGCCTATTCTCCAAAGTTGTAGAAGATTCTCGAGAATACCTATTATTAGTTTGCTATGGTCAGTGTGCTATAAACTTCGGAAGCTATAACTATGATTGTTCTAACGCTTGTCAATCGGAAAACTTCGGATATTTGACCAGGAGCATTTACAAAGTTCGAACATTACAAATAATTTAACTTCAGTGGATTCTCATCAGACATAAGTATTTTTACAAAAACATTATATAACTTTATCTTGGAAAACTGAGTGTGTGGCTGGTAAATAACGAAGGACAAAGTTAGCTAGCTCCCTGTTAAGCGAATTATATCTTCGTCAACTCGTAATTAACTCGCTCATCGTGAACCCTCGATAAGATATTGAAGAGGTTCCAGACTAGAAAGAAGACTTTATATTGCTTGTAAGTTTGTGAAACTTTTGTTTATAAATCATTGTTTGTAATTACTACTTGTAAAAATTGTTATTGCAAATTGTATTGTTGTGTGTATATTAAAACGTATTTGTGTTAAAAAAAGAAACTGTGTGTATCAATCTTGTTGGCAAATACCATAAACTGACTATATGCAATTTAACTACTAAATTTAAATTATCGGTTAACTCAATTTCAGACCTTTCGAAATTCTAATACGTAACAGACCATACAATAAAATGGAATAATATAAAACAATGGAATATTAACCATACAGAAGAAAAATAAAGTATTCTACATCAACCTAACTAATAACACAAACTCAGTCAACCCAGAATAGAAGTCAGCGAAACCTGGATGCTCCTGTTGAAACAATTCTAATAGTTGACTGAATCATCTATGGCGACGGGCGGAAGGACAAGTGTATAGTCTACCAGATTTTATCAAAACAAAACCTCTGCTCGAATCACAGCTCATATTACCACAGGAATTTTCAGACGGCAGCAGATTAGCAACCGAAAAGTTGTGCATTAACTAATTAGTAAATGGTAATTTAAAAAAGGTAAACTGTTAATAATTAGATTTAGGTGACTGTATAGGCTACTAACTGTGACAATAACTGATACCTGATTGTCAACTTCATCATAGACCCAGCACGTTTAAAATTACTTCGTTATTTACATCCTCCTAACTTACATTTTTAGCATGAGCATCTTTTAGAGAAAAAAAAGGACAGTTGATGTTTGCCCATATTTGCATAGAAATATGCATATTTAAAGTAATCTACTACATAAGGTTTATCACACAGCTTCAAAATAATAAATTTTTATTATTAAATAAGGTTTTATCACTTACCCCTGCATTGGTCCCCCTTTAGATAAATTATACACCTGTCTAGGATTAAGTAAGTACTGGAACTTTCTTAAGATCCTGAAAGAGGAATAAACAAAATGTTAAAAATTAAAATTGTGGACAGTTATTGGAAATTACGTTGAAACTACCACAGGGCACCTACAAAATTAATATGGAATACCATAAAACATCGTTGTTCCAGCTACAATACAGCATATATACATTTCGTTATAGTTAAGTGAACTTTCTGAAACGCTTTGTGTTAAGACATTATTGTAAAATACTGCAATTACAGAGCTATGTTGAGACATTATTGTAAAATACTGCAGGTACAGAGCTATGTTGAGACATTATTGTAAAATACTGCAGGTACAGAGCTATGTTAAGACGTTATTGTAAAATACTGCAGGTACAGAGCTATGTTAAGACATTATTGTAAAATAATGCAGGTACAGAGCTATGTTAAGACGTTATTGTAAAATACTGCAGGTACAGAGCTATGTTAAGACATTATTGTAAAATACTGCAGATACAGAGCTATGTTAAGACGTTAGTGTAAAATACTGCAGGTACAGAGCTATGTTGAGACATTATTTTAAAATACTGCAGGTACAGAGCTATGTTAAGACACTATTGTAAAATACTGCAGGTGCAGAGCTATGTTAAGACATTATTGTAAAATACTGCAGATACAGAACTATGTTAAAACATTATTATAAAATACTGCAGGTACAGAGCTATGTTGAGACATTATTGTAAAATACTGCAGGTACAGAGCTATGTTAAGACATTATTGTAAAATACTGCAGATACAGAGCTATGTTGAGACATTATTATAAAATACTGTAGGTACAGAGCTATGTTAAGACATTATTTTAAAATACTGCAGGTACAGAGCTATGTTGAGACATTATTGAAAAATACTGCAGGTACAGAGCTATGTTGAGACATTATTGTAAAATACTGCAGGTACAGAGCTATGTTTAGACATTATTGTAAAATACTGCAGGTACAGAGCTATGTTAAGACATTATTGAAAAATACTGCAGGTACAGTGTTATGTTGAGACATTATTGAAAAATACTGCAGGTACAGAGCTACGTTGAGATATTATTGGAAAATACTGCAGGTACTGAGCTATGTTGAGACATTATTGAAAAAGATTGCAGGTACAGAGCTATGTTCAACCGATACAGAGCTATGCCCTAATAAACCAGAAGCACAAAATAGTGGCTCTTGTCAACATCACATTAAATCATTAGCCAACCATGTAAAACATCAACATTTATGTTAAAGTGTTCAGCAACTGTAAACCAAGGTTCGTAGTTTTATATTGAGAACACAGGAACAATCTACCATGACAAGTCACGTGGAAATATAATACATTGTGATGACTTAAGAAATACAAATTAAACTAGATGTACTTGCACAGGTCCCCCAAAGTGTTTTGTTTCATAAGTAAATAAAACCAAAATTAGGTGTAACAAGTATTTTTATTTCTTGCTTTTCAAGTTCATATGTTATGCTGTGTTGTAACCTACAGAGTGCATAATTCTTCTCGTGATTCAAGTCCTGCGCATGTTTTACTGACATTCACAACAGTACAAACTGCAACTTAAGCGTCTCTTACGTGATGTAATTTTAGTGCCTGTTAACTGACTGCCAAACAACACCCTACTGTATAGTGGTGTAAGTGCTTAAAACAGGTAACACCTCCAGGCAGCCTTCGGCCCCTTCAGGAGAAAATATTCAAATAGCTGTTAATTTAACTCTTTGTTCTCTCATACACTTACATTCGCCCATCAAAAAGCTCCAATGCGCATGCTCAAGCAGAAAAAAAAAACATGGCACCCTGTTAAAGTAATAGAGAAATTGTTTGTTTGTTTGTTTTGAATTTCGCGAAAAGCTACACGAGGGCTATCTGCACTAGCCGTCCCTAATTTAGCAGTGTAAGGCTAGAGGGAAGGCAGCTAGTCATCACCACCCACCGCCTTGGGCTACTTTTTTACCAACGAATAGTGGGATTGACCGTCACATTATAGCGCCCCCACTGCTGAAAGGGCGAGCATGTTTGGTGGGACGGGGATTCGAACCCGCGACCCGCAGATTGCGAGTCGAGCGCCCTGACCATCTGGCCATGCCGGGCCAAATAGAGAAATGTGAAGGATCAAGAAAAACTCAACAGGTAAGTTTTTGTCTTGGAGGAGGAGGAGCACATAGATGAGGTTGGGACGGACGAAAAGAGGTGGGAGTTGACTCCGCCAATAGAGGAGGGGGGGATACCAAAACGACCTTCCTCGAGAATATTTTTATATATTTTTGGTGCTTTTTCTGCTGTCTGGTACATTTTGAGACATAAAACTAAGCCTCCGGTGGGGATTAGGGGTGGGTGTGAAGGTACGTAATGTAATTTTTATAGTTCACTGCACACACATAGTGTATTCCCAAAACTTGTGTTTGTGGTATTAAATTGAATCATATTTATGAAACAAGGAAAATGTTATTACACAGCTGAATAATGAAGTTAAGAAGATAAAGAATTAATAAGAAATATTATTTATTCTCCAGTAAAAAAAAAGCGCTGTAAAATACATATGCAGTCTGTATCGAAAAGGTATTTTGTAGCGAAAACTGTGGGAAAAAGCCTGATTTGGTTCCAATTTTATATCGACGGAAGAAAAGTCTCAATAAACGTGAGAGCGGAGAATGAGGCCTAAATGTAAAATATTTGATATGTCTGATGATATCGACAATATTAAAACTAGAATGAAATAATAGTTTGTTCCAAATCTAAATAAAACCAACTTATCAGTTAAGTAAATGTAAAACAACAAAAACAAAATGAACGGGAATTTCACTAACCTAACTCCTTGTCTTCCGCCACTTTTTGGATTTATCAGAACTAATAACGGATGAGTACCTGGAAGTGGAGTAATTTGGAATGACATTGGAGAGCCCTGAAATAAAGATCCGTGAGATTAATTGTTTTTGTAGAATTCATGCAGAATTCCATTAAATCGTCGGGACAGTTTTGAAATAAATCAATTTCAACTTTTAAAAATATTGCGTTCATCTTGGCAGAACATTGTTTTTGTAAAATGATGCTGTCTTTTCTGTGAGTCTGAAACAAATAGACTTAAATATTTTGAAAGTTTCCATTAATAAGGTTTACAATGACAGTAACACTTTTAGGAAAACGTTTGAATGACGCAGAATGTTTATAAACGCATTCTCAAACTACGATACTTAATATTTGTGATATTTAAACAAAATACGAGGTGGACACATATCTGAATTTGAAGGGAGCACACATATCTGAATTTGAGGGGAGCACCTATGATTAGGGCATCTTGTTCGCTACGGTAATCGTGACTTTTACATTCAAAACTGGAACAGTGACTTTTCATGATCGTTACAAGTAAATGGAAGGCTATTCTCCATTCAAAGGACACTTCGCTACCGGTTTAAAATTGGGTGGCACGTGCCCCCAGTTCAACTGGTTCAGCTGCCTAAGCTTAATAAATTTATACTTTATGGAAATTGTATTTCAAGGTATGACATAAAACAGAACATTCTAATATAAATAACTTATTTCAATTTCGTCCGTAACAGAGTTAATAAGCAATCCTATTCTAATTGTTTGTTTGTTGTTAAGCGCAAAGTTACACAATGGGTTATCTAAGCCCTGTTCACCGCGGGTATCGAAACCCAATTTTTCGGCATTATAAGCCTTCAGACTTACCGCTGAGCAACTAAGGGACCTATTCTAATAGAAAAACGACTTATAACTGAAATATAAATACAGAAAATCACAATAATTTTATTTTAAACATCAGAAAAAATAACTTAAACTGTCCTGTAGAAACTATTTGCTCTAAGACCTAAAGGCAAAATTTAAAAACTAAGTAAGATAATAATCCTTAAGTATAGTTTTTAACCATCTGATTTGAATGTAATTGTTTATCATTTTTTTCTGTTTTCAACTTAATATTCTTTGGTGTATCAGTAAAAGATTGTTAGTAATCCCTAAAAAATCCAATAAATGTTCAATTTGGACAAGCAAAAATAATACAAAACGTGTAGGTTTTATCCTAATTCCTGAAACTGCTTCTGTGGTGGACAACAAAGCACCCACACGTCATACACAAAAACATCAATAGATAAACAGTGTATTTGTAACAAAAGTAATTCATACCGAAATACACTTACGGACATTATGCTATTTTAAAGTTAAGAAGCAATGCCTAACAGTTTTTTTGTTGTTGTTGTTAAGCGCAAAAGTACATAAGTGGTTAACTGTGCTCGATCCATCGCAATTATTGAACCCTGAATTTTAACGCTATAAGTTCACGACTTACCACTGAGCCACCAGGGAGCATGCTTAACAGAGAACTTATACTGTTGCCACATAAGTCTCTCAAAACCCAAATATTTCATTGGTGCCTTGAAAAAGTACTGTGTAACAGTACCAGTGTACCTTCTTATGTTTGCACTTATAAAAAAGTAAGAAAACCTTGCTCTTCTGATCAAACAAACATTATTGTTGCCATTCTAATGAACTGCTGAAACATGAAGTAACATACAAGTGCTTGAAATTTGCAGATTTAAGAATAATAGTCTCAACGATACAGAAGAAAAGCAAAATTATTACGAAAAGGTTGTAGAAAAGAAAAACAAAAGCTTTCGTATCGTAGCAAGTTCTATACATGTGTAAATATTTGTATAATAGTTTGTTGAATTTTGAATTCCGTTAGGAACTTATGGCTCTGGGACGAGTTTCTTTAAACATCCAGTTTTTATAGTCACCTATCCTAGAAACATTGACATAGTCTATATATATATATATATATATATTGACCATGTTCTAAATACGTAAATCTTCAATGAATATAAACTTACAACATTTTGTGTACTTTCACATGTTGCCATACTGGAATCTGAACGAGATAAGTTTTTCTTCTGACCACCGGACAAACTTCGTTGTCTTTCCTTGAAAAAATAACATCAATAAATGAGTTTACATCATTAATCTTTACTCACTTATCAGTTATTTTACCGCTTTTATATCTTGAGGAAAACTTATTATAATTTATTTACTGTTGTCTAATATTTACGCTTCTTCTATAAAAAAACATACAAAATGTTAAGAAATTAGGTCCTCATTTTCGAATGATCTGATACCACACCATATCCTCTGATGGGGATGGATTTAGGTGCCCAACGTAAGTTTCGTAACTTCAGATGGCGCCATCGGTCTGTATACCCAAAATGGCTACTGTGTAAAAAAATTGCTCATTTTGTGTTGCTACATGTGAAATGTAACTATATGATGTACTACAATGTAAAAATCAAAGAGTGTATAAAAAAGGTGCCCCTTTATTGAGAGATGTGATCTTCCAGCATGAGTATGTCCCTGGTTCATATATTATAATCTTTTAATGAGAATTTGCTTGCAGTGAAACACGTAATTTTACAACAGGGACTTACTACGCTTACTACACGAACGTACTTTCAATGGTTCAAGTAACCTTGGAACAAGGACTTTCTTCCGCTGGCACAAGTAATCTTAATACTCAAGCGTATTTCACTGTAAGTAATCTTACAACAAAAAATGTGCTTCCACCGATCCAATACCTGTATTAATAAATGTCCATCAAACCTAACGTCAACTAATAATTTGAGTCAATACAATAAGTTTGAAGTTTGCAATCTATCGTCAAGGATAATAAACAAATATAATATATGATATACGAATAGCTAAAGGTAAAATAAGTAGATAGTATATCCAAAAACTAATTACAAAAACCCATTTCTATTGATTTTCTAATACTAAGATAATGCTAAACCCTTGTTTCAAATAATTCGTTCTAGAAGTGTGGATAATCTCAAGCTTTCAGGGTAAGAAAACTTAACTCTGTACCAGTGTTTAATATATAGTCTAAACACAATATCTTTGTGAATATCTAAAAATAATTCTAAATTCAGTCATAACAACGATTATATAAAATGTTTAGTAAAGCATTCGGTTTACTCATTTCAAATATTACAGCACCCAAATCTGTAACATAAATTTCGAATACTTTAATGTATATGGTTATATAATTCACTCTCATTAGTCAATAATGTTAACTTTGGCAAAATTATAAATAAAAAAGAAATAAATACAATTAAAATTAATAATTATATCTGATTTTGAACTTTTCAATCAGACCCCAATTGCCTGCTAATCCATCTTTACTTGACGTATAACTAACGCGTTCAAATCCACCATCGTGGGCAATAGATGAGGATATAAACCATGTGCGAGCATGCGTGACGTAGGTATACTAAAAATAATAGCTATTCTGTTACCCACAGGCAATGTACGAAACATGCGCATCCAAATTACTAGGCACCTAGCTCGTAATTATGATGAAATGTAATTATGTTTAAAGGTAATTACAATATTAACTGCTACACCGTCAGTCGGCAGATGTTATTTCTAATGTCAATCTATATTCTATGAACAACAGTACACAGTATTGGGCTCAATACTTACCAGAACGATGGGGCAAATGGAAGTAGGGGGCAGAATGTGGTCTCTGTGTTCTCCTAAAGTACATTCTGGTTTCACTTGGGAAGCACAGTGGTTGTGAAGCTAATACAAAATGCACCAAGAAAAAAAAAATCATCAAAAAGATTAACAAAACAATTTGTTATCTGCTTGAATATCCTTGAGAATACTTATTTAATACTTATATTAAATATTTTTATCTTTCACACATATTTTGTCCTAAGTACAAATTCAATTTGATTATCATTTAAAATAATTATTTTTCGTTGAATTGTATCAATATAATCGCATATTTATTCCAGTCTACAATGCTTAGAACGGACAGCTGATTTCAGTGTCCTTAAATTTATACAATAAATGAATAAATTACACTGTAAGTTTATAGAGGATTAATGCACTTTAGCTGTAACATCTCTTTGTTTGTTTATTTGTTTGTTTTTAATTATGCACAAAGCTACACAAGGGCTATCTGTGCTCTGCCCACCACGGGTATCGAAACCCGGTTTCTAGCGTTGTAAGTCCGCAGACATACCGCTGTGCCACTGGGGGGCGTAACATCTCTAAACCTATACAACAATTCTCGTCAACGAAGGCGAAGAAATGTTGCGCCTGAGTTGGAAATGACCTAAAGCTTACAGTGTTTTAAATTTCATCCCAATATATTCCGTTTCCTTGACACGACGTTTGCAAATATTCTCAAAAGTTCATCCCAAGGCACATAAAACACGATTTCCATGTTTGTTCCTCATAAAATGATTTGTCGTCACTTTCCACAAAACTCTTAAACTGTGCTATTTCAGTTTTACTGTGATTAGGTTAAATAAACTATAAATACACAGACGATATCATTCCCACCATGCTCACAGTTTTCTCTGCTTAGGTCGTTTTCATTTTTCTTAACTTATGAGAGGATAGTTAAAAATAACCTAATTCTGTAGATGTTTTCATCAAAGAAATTTACACTTTTTTATTGAAAGATTTTTTCAGTTATTTTACTTTTCACGCGTAGAATTGTTTGTTTGATCTAAAGCAAAGTCACTGCGGGGAATCGAGCCCCAGATTTTAGCGTTGCACGTCTGTAGACTTACAGCTGTCCTACCTGGGAACTCTTGTGAAGAACCCCAAGCTACAGCCGATTAGAAAGGTTTCGTTATATGTACGTCACGCGCTGATCAGAAACCCGCGTGCTCTGTTTCACGAGGGCCCGGCATGGCCAGGTGATTAGGGTACTCGACTCGCAATCTGCGGGTCGCGGGCTCAAATCCCCATCACACGAAACATGCTCGCCCTTTCAGCCGTGAGGGCGTTATAATGTGACGATCAATCCCACTATTCGTTGGTAAGAGTAGCCCAAGAGTTAGCGGTGGGTGGTGATGACTAGCTGCCTTCTCTCTAGTCTTACACTGCTAAATTAGGGACGGCTAAACCATATAGCCCTCGTGTAGCTTTGCGTGAAATTCAAAACAAACAAACTCTTTCATGAATATTTGTTGACGGGCAGTTCTAATACGTCAGCATACTTTAGAAAAGGAGCGAAAAGTAACACTTTGACAATAAGATGAAATGGCTTGGTATAGCCGCGTGGTTAGAGCCCTTGACTCACGATCTATGGGTAGCGGGTTCGAGTCCCTTCCTTTTATTTTAAGGCGGAAGAGGACATGACGAAAATCGCCTCCTATTGGTGTGATCTGGACGCATTTAGGATACTTTAAATGAAATATAATACTTTTCGTTCCTTTCCACATTAACTATGCATTATACATTTTTAATTATTTGTTTCTTATTTGATTAAGCAATTAATCTATTTTTTGTGTTTATTTATTTATTATGTATAGATCTAACACTAGTAACACGTTTGGCTCATAGGTATTTCATAAATACATCTTTGAGTTACTATATCTAAGAAACCTGTAAAAATTATCCCATTCCATGCTAAAACATTCAAATTTACCCTAAAGAGATTTATTGTATAAATTTACTTAGGAAATCGTTTTTATTGGAAATAAAAATGTTTCTTTTCGGCGACCCTAATACTTACTATAAAAACTAAGTTAGAAAACTTGGAGTTTCTCTTACTATTAGAATAGTAGTAACTACCGTGAGAACTTAACGAAAAGATTTAGACAAATATACTCATTGAAATGTTTTATCGTTTACTCATAACAACTTAAACTTAAAGCTTTAAATAAATACGGAAAAATATTTAAAGATTCAATGCTCCTAAATTAGGGGTATTATCTTTGCATCTATAAAAATCACAGGCAGAACCTACCGTCATTTGACACCACCGACAATGAAGTCCACTTATTCCGTTGTACGATTTAATGGGTTTTTTGCATTTACTGCACTTCCCAACACAATTACCTTCTGTCCAGTGATGAAGCAGCGTCTATTCAGATCAGACATAGGGTTAATTTACAGGAAAATTTATTTTTACAGCAAACAGCTTGATGTATTCAAATTACAAGTCAATTCCTAGTGTATCAAATGCTACAAATTACATTCACGTCAACAAGCTGGTAAGAAGAAATTTTATTTAAACAGTTCAACAAAGATTGGTACATTTTATATAAAAAATGAAACAAACACAGTATACAGAATTATGTTAATGGCTGGTGAAACTTGTTCAGTCTAAACCTTGCCTTCCTGGAAAATCAGAGAAGTAAACAAAAACAAATATTCTTGTTACATCAGAAGGGGCAAATTAAGCGCTATGAATATTGTCGTTTTATTTATTTTAACTCAGGATAAATTATTCCACAGAAAATTAAAGAAAAAACCATCCCCAAAAGACAGCTAATACTGTTTTTGACACGTTGTTGCTAAACAGTCTAGTACTTTCCAATTATAAGACTACATTAATAACAGTATTTCAACTCTTTCAATATTTCCCATCAACCAGAGCATATTTTATTTGTGATAAATCCACACAATTTTACCAAAACACTCACGAGTACATTGTTACACGAAGTTCAAATTAAACTTCGCATATTTGGTTGAATTTATGGACAGTAAAGCTGTGTACACCGATGCAAGAGAAGAATGAAACCTTTCAAGTTGACAATAATGAACACATGTTGCAGGATGCTGATCATTCTTAGGACTTCCACATAACAAGGTTTCTACAAGAAGTGAACACTGATATCACCTTCATTATACTTTTGTTTCACAGCCAGTCTTTTTACAGGTTAATATTTAGTCCACTACATTCTGGATCGAGCCAACTGTAAAATGCTTAACTAAATAACGTTCAACATTTTGTTTTGTTTTAGGCTTAATCATTTTGAAGAGTTTTGATATTGATAACATGGCTTCGCCTCAATAACAAACAAGATGTAGATAAGACGCATAACTCGCTATTTTCTACAAACTCGTATTTAGCTAGTCCAGTTCAGAGTATAATGTCAAGAATTATGAGCAGTTTTTTAGTGATATTTAATGAAACTTTATGGACTTAAAAAAGGCTAAGTTCAAAGACATAGTGAATACTTTAATTACCTTTCAATAAAAACAAATAAATTGAATATTCTAAGTGACTGATTAACGTACCTGCGAAGTCCTTTTAGATTTCACGTAGGTACTAATACACGAGGCCGGCGCCTTCTGTACACATCTTTCATGAACGGTGTAGTTGCAAACTACAAGCAAAGAAGAAGAAATTCTGAGTGATGAATCTGCCTTTAGTTTCTAATAACTCAAACACCAAGTTATTCACGTGTTAATATTACTGGGTACTGTGCCGCATTTCTGAAATACAAGTCAATATAGTTAATACCTTTATCAATTATACGCCAGTGTCATAACGCTATTGGCCAAAATATATTTTATTAATTGTGTTATCTAAGTTACTGGAGACTTACAAAAGCAGCAGAGTTATATTATTTAGCGTCAAAGACAGCTTGTGTACAGACATTCGACTTAACATTCACGAATTTTTTATTTCTACCTATTTTATGTTAGGAAAACGTTTAACTCTAGCGTGCAACTACTGGTTGGTTGTTTCTATGAGTGATTTTGACATGAATCTTTAAAAATTAACTATATTATAATCTGAGTGCATTCGATAATTAAAGAAAAGTTTGTAATAAACAGCAGCTGTAAACCTTTACGACGGAGTAACACCGAAATATCGGGAAATAAATCTTTCTTAGCTGATGAATAAGGTCCAGTTTATGTTAAATACTCGGAAAAGGGTTCATTGTTGTTTTCTTTCCGAGAAGAAAATTGTTCATTATAAAATGGCGCAAAATAAAAAAATCACCGAAAAAATATAAAAAAAGGCAATTATAAGACTTCAAAACTGTTAGAAAATCCTAACTCTTCATCAGAGTGTCAAGTGATGTTATTAAAACACTACCCACGTTTCAAAAGACAGTTCATATGACACAGATTTTACAACTTTTGGAGCATGACCCCTATGTGTCACATGGTTTATTTAACCATAATAATAGTAATAGGAAAATCTCTAAACCTAAAGGGAACTTGAAAGTGTTTGTCACCTGGCTTCTTTAACCATAACAACAGGAAAATCTCTAAACCTAAAGGGAACTTGAAAGTGTTTGTCACCTGGCTTTATTAACCATAACAACAGGAAATTCTCTAAACCTAAAGGGAACTTGAAAGTGTTTGTCACCTGGCTTCCTTAACCATAACAACAGGAAATTCTCTAAACCTAAAGGGAACTTGGGAGTGTTTGTCACCTGGCTTTTTTAACCATAATATATGGAAAATCTATAAATGTAGAAAAAACTTGAAAGTAATTAATTATTATATAGTTGTTTTCCCAACTATAGCAAAAGGAAAACCCCCACACGTTACTGACAAATATACTAACATCAGAATGGTATGTCTTTGAAAAGGGGAAGGGGGTATGTGTTTTCAGTGTTAAAAATGGGTCAAAAGTTCACATAGACAGGTTACAATAGGAGTTTCGTCGAACGTTAGAGGTGCATACCTGCTACTGTCAACAGGCGGGGCTAAAGCAGATTTGTGTGCTGATGATTCGCAGAAAGAAAAACTAGATTACATAAGATTTGCAATCGTAATGGTCGGAATTGTTAGAAAAGATGGAAAACCAAGGGAGAGACAAAGTATAATATCTAAAACATGGTCACGTATGAAACATAAGCCACGCCTGCAGTGCAAATGTACATTATACGTTTTCTTTCTGTATGGGCGAATAAATCGCATTTCATGCATATCCCAGAAATACTACGGTGTGAATTTCATGCATATCCCAGAAATACTACGGTGTGAATTTTTTAAAAGGTAGAAATGAAAAAGCTCAGTTTTTACTAGTCACACTAGATTCATAAAGAGCGATTAAAAAAATGACTAAATAAACAGGAAAATAACTCCGACATGTCTGCCAAAATATGCTTTTAAAAGAAGGGAAGTTAGAAAATGGATTTAACATATTTTTCAAAACTAGAGTTCATAAAACTGACTGTCAAACTATATACATAGCGTGCGTTTTTGAAAGTGATTACACCAAGATTATTGTGTTTCTGAAATCCTCAAAAAGTGCTTCAAGGATGATCTCTGAAAAAATCTCAGACCATCTGCCACAATCAGATTTATCATATAAATCGCATACTCGTGAAAGAGGAGACAGGTTTTGATGCAGCAGTCGAACTAATAAAAAAAACTGCGAACATCTTTTGATGGGCGTAATTACACATTCTACATATCTATAATTATACATGTCATGTTATACACACTTCAATTTTCACATCAGTAAGCCATTGTGAAATAAGACAATATTCCTGAATTATTGAGCAAAACTTAGTAAACAATAATTGTTAATTAAGTATGTATTATAAGAAACGTAAATGGTTCTATGATTTGTTCAATATTTTACCTAATATGATCAATGTTATTCCAACAGCGTCAGTATCTATATTTTAATGTTTTTAAATAGATATTATCATGTGAATTTCTAGTAACATAGTATATTATCTCCGAAAAGTCATTTCTAAAGGTTCAAGTTACCTTTAGAATTAACAACATGGTTCATCGGTATATAAGGCCGGCATGGCCAGGTGGATAAGGCGCTCAACTCACAATCTGAGGGTCGCGGGTTCGAATCCGCATACCACAAACATGCTCGCCCTTTCAGCCGTGGGGGCGTTATAATGTGACGGCCAATGCCACTATTCGTTGGTAAAAGAGTAGCCCAAGAGTTGGCGGTGGGTGGTGATGACTAGCTGCCTTCCCTCTAGTCTTACACTGCTAAATTAGGGACGGCTAGCGCAGATAGCCCTCGTGTAGCTTTGCGCGAAATTCAAAAAACAAAACTAAACATCGGTATATAAATACATTTTCTAAATTATTTGCGTATCACAAAGCTTGGGGGCCCCAATTAATTGCACAAAAAACTTTCAGCAAAAAATACAATCAATATCGCAAATAATAGCACTAGCTACTGCTAGAGTTTTCTGCGTGTATTACACGGAAAATTGGCGATTTTACCCATTTTTGGTCAGCTTTTTTTAGTTCTTTACACTGAGTATTGTAGCAGGTAAAAACATAAAATAAGTTATTATGATACAATGATACTATGGAACATGTGAACTCCACCGGTAGAGGAAAGGTATAAAAATACGCAGTAATGTGATACTAAAATATATTTGATACAGTCATACATATATAAAGGTAGATAACAGTTTATATTCAGGTTGTCTTTAAGACATTGAATAATGTACATTATATGATCTATATGTAATCATTTACATATTTTATTAAAAACTGGTTTTAAACAAGTTTACTTATGGTTGTTTTACATCCTAGAGAAATGTTTTAGCTCTGGCCAAAGCACAGGCTCTCCTCTCTCCTATTATAGAGTCCTGCCGCAGCACGTTTTTCAGTGCGCAGTACAGATGGCGTGACGCCGTCTATAATTTCGAACCAGTGACCACAGGGACGTAATCGGTCGACAGCAGTGTATGGCTATTTTTTATATATATGGTACATAATAATCTTTTAATCTATTTATTTTTGCTATATTTAGTTATTTACTATTATTAATAAGTTTTTTCTTTTACACCACAATTTTCAACTGCATCATAGTATACAGAAGATGAAGGTTGCTCAAAACCAAACCAACAGGTTAAGCTTAATTTAGTATTAATAATTTAATACAAAACTGAACAATCTAAGTAGATTAATTCAACTTGGCAATTGTTTTCTCAAAAGAACTCGATATCAATCTGCATATTTGCAGAAACTTAAGAATAATGTTAATATTGCCTTAAAAAATTCAAAGAGGTTAGATTTCAATCGTTTGTAATTTCCAGCACTCTCCAGGTTTTAATCATCCAAGTTTATTTGCCAAAGGAATACTTCTAGAATGCGTACAATATCATTAATGCTCACGTCTACTCCATTTTCATTATAACAATACCATGTTAAGAAAGATTCAGATTCAAAATGTCGGAGGTCTTGTATGGAAAGCGTAACTAAATACTCAACAATATAAATCTCTTGAATTATTGATGAATTTCTGTGCTTTGCCAGCTATCGTCATTCCATAGTGTAACTTAAATTATTTAATGTATCCACATAAATAACATAACATAACGAGTTCTGGTCTTGAACGAAAGGATTTCTGAGCGGTTACTTGACGCAGCTCCCCCCCCCTCCTTACCATTGGTCCAGCGGTAAGTTTGAAGCTTATAACACTAATAACCGGGTTTCAATGCACGCGGTTGGTACAGCAAAGATAGCCCATCGTGTAGCTTTGAACAAACAACGAAATACCTGTTGCAGAAAAAATATCGATTTGAAACGCTATTTCAATATCTTTCTACTGTTAAATCCCTAATGAACAAATGAAGTGAAATGCAATTTCTTTGTTTGTTCAACTGAACATCACGTTATACACAGATTTTATCAAATTAACAGGCCAGAGACCCCTATATTTCAGGCATAGCTTTCCTTAAGTTGGAATTGCGGGCCAGAGAGAAAGCAACTCTTACCGAATAGCGAGATTGACTGCTACTTTTATAATGCATCCACAGTTGAAACTATGAGATTCGTTTGGCAGCACCACGTCTCGAACCCGAGACCTTCGGATCCCTATTTTGATACACTAACCACTAGGTAAGTAGAATGTGAAAAAAAAAACACACGTGCAGTGTAGCATTATTTTATAATAATATAAATTTTAGCTCGACATATTAACCCAAGACCTTTATATTTGCTCTTTCAACAATATTCACAAGACTTTTTGTCTAGCATTACATAAATATTCAAGAAATATTATGAATAACAGCATTACAAACTTACAAGAAACACTAAAATAGATCTTATAGAAACTTACAAGTACAACAAAGTCCTTTCTTGCCGAAGCCAACTAACATGTTAAGACAAAGGTTACAATAGGTAGACCTGCTGAAATGTTTCAATCTCCACACGTGGTTTCCGTCATCCTTCACATTCTGTTAATCAAGAACAAAGATAAATGATGATAATAATTTATCACAGTACGTAACAACGCGCACATGAGCTCTTCGTGTTACGAAAGGCTTATGGTAAAAAAAAAATACTTTCTTTTAAATCATAACGCAAAAAATTGTTAGTTTTAGATGCATAATTTTAGTAATAGCGTAGCATGTTTCGTAATTTTTCATTTTAAAACTTGTATTTAATTTGTGAAATTGCCCTTCTGGGGAATATGTTTATATTAGTTCAAAATTAACTCGAAGATAAAACATAATCCTGTCTGTTTCAAACTTGTGAATTCTCAAGGATATTTCAGTTTAACTTACATAAAAAATATGATATTATATATATATATATAAATACATCTTACATCCTCACTTTCTATAGTTTATTATTAACTTTGTTGAACATGCATTAATACTACATCTAAACTCTATCCGTGCCGCGCAACTCGGGTAGGCAGGGTACTTGCTCGTGCAACAATTAGAGTTAAAGTAACCTTTACATGTTGAACGCTCAGTTCGTTTCGTAACAAAGCTGGCGTAGGTTGCTAAAAGCTTCACCCAGCCGACAAGGATACGAATTCCATTTTCTTTAGGCTTATTCAGAGTCAAACGAATAAACAAAGTTATTGATTTCATTCCGAGCAGGACAATGAATGTAATTTGTCCAGCTAATCCCTAGAGCGAAGTGTTTGATAAACACTAAGCTCATAGGAAGAAGACTATCTAATAAAATATAACAAATGTGAAAAAAATAGCAAACATACCGAATCAAGTCCGAGTAGGACGAGTAATGGAATTGTTGTCATTCCACCACGCTTCCACTCTCCAAGAGAAACTGTTCCATCAGCATCATAGTCAATTTCTATCATCATGTCCTGTAAAATCTGTGGGGAAAATAAGCCATGCGTTTAAGGCCTTAATCTGTAGTGTCGTATTTTGAGATTTAACTATTTTGATAGAATATTCGACAAAGCATATTAAAGATTCAAAATAAAATTAAGTAACTTAATAAAGTAAGGCATGTGATCTCAAATCACAGTTTGCGAAGAATCTCTAATTTGTTTTTGTGTGTTTTTTCTTTTCCTGGCCTAGATTTAAAGGTAACGTCTGTGTGGCCTTGTTTGGTTAATGGCTATGCTGGAGGTTTATGAAAGTTGTTTTGAGGTAAAGTAAACCTGTATTTATTTGACTTCATGCTTAATGTATCTGAATTAAGGACATTCATGATAATTGATAAATATGGACGAAGTCAGTCAGTTGTCCAAAAGTTGTTGTCTACGTGGATAAATTCCGAGAATCAGGAAGTGTATCCGATTGTTCAAAGCCCCAAACTTCAAAGGATATTGATACACAGGTGAAACAATTACTGTAGGATCCACAAGTGGTGCAAGCATTATTCGAGATGTGGCACATCAAACTGGCTTACCATGGTCAAATGTACGCGCTACCATGCGGAAAGCTTTGCGTATTACCCCCCCCACCCCCATCTGCTCCCCATAATCGTAGCATTTGGGTTAAAGAAAATCCCCAAGCTACAGTGGAATGGCGCTTAAGTCTCCCTAAGATCACAGTGTGTTACGATGTCATTGCTAATTGCATCTTGAGATTACTCTTCTTTGGAAGCTTGGCGATGTGCATGTTGACCAGGCAACGTTATTTTGAGTTGTTGCACACATACATCATACCACAACTATAGCAATATAAGTGTGCCCAGAATGTTAAATTAATGCAGGACGGTGCACGCATCTAACACTGCTTGTGCATAATGTTTCTGAATACAGAGTTCTCCCCTAACCTCATTCTTACCGACTATTGTTTGTTTTTATGATTATTCTCCATAAACCAGCAACCATTCTGCAAGTGAAAGATTCCATTATGACAGAGGTTCTGGTAACTTCTCGAGAGACGTTAACATTAACATTGCCAGAATAGACAAATTAGTTGAAAACAATGACGTAAAAAATTAACAGTTGCTATACTGGCGCCTTTTGGTGTAATTTCCAAAGAACAGTGGAATGCACTTTCAAAACATTTCGCAATCATATTACCCGATTCGTCCTATAGACTTTATAAGCACATTTCATTCTTCAATGTAATTAGATAATGGTTAAATTCACATATAGAGGTTATAATGTATTTGACAATTATAAACATAAGACGATCTGAACTGTGGAACTATTTTAATATCCGATAACCACTGTCATAACATAACGCTGCAAGTGTTCTCAACGACTATCCCTCCCATTATTTAAAGGTGTAAATATTCTAAGCAGACGAAGTTAGACATTGGTGAATACGTGCATCGGGTTGAGAAGGATTTTATTGCATTTATTTCGCTTATTTAGTGGTCCACCAATCTTTTACAGTTTGGAAGCAGAAGTAAGACGAGCACGTCCTGGATTTTGTAACAAACGCAGGAAAAATTAGTGCATAAAGAAACCAACCCAATCAGTATTTAATTTATTTGTTAATTCCTTTTCTTCATCGAAACGTGAATTTCAGTGGAGGAACGTATTTAGATTTCAATGATTATTCTCTTTATACTTATTGTTCTAAATACTAAAAGATAGTTTGGAAGTATATATTTATTTAAAGCAAACATTTAACCTCAAGGTGTTTAGAAAATAAATGATCAAATACGACACAAATAATGTGACGTGTAAGGAAATTCATTTAACTATCAATTAATGATGGCTTGATGGTTAGGGTGCAAGCCGCAGAATGCGGGTTCAAATCCCGTCACCGAACATGCTCACCCTTTTAACCGTTGTGGTGTTATGATGTGATAATCATTTCCACTATTCGTTGGTAAAGAGTAGCCCAAGAGTTGGCGATAGGTGGTGTTGACTAGTTGCCTCCCCTCTAGTTTATCATTTCTAAATTACGAATGGCTAGCGAAGAGTAACTTTCGAGTAGCTTTGTGCGAACTTACACACAGAAACTATCAATTGTTTAGTTTCACTACAAGAAACCGTCTGACTGTAAATCAAATTCATCTCAATATCAACTGTTTAGGTTCACTACAAGAGACCGTCTGACTTGAAATCAAATTCATCTCAATATCAACTGTTTAGGTTCACTACAATAAACCGTCTGACTGGAAATCAAATTCATCTCAATATCAACTGTTTAGTTTTACTGCAAGAAACCGTCTGACTGGAAATCAAATTCATCTCAATATCAACTGTTTAGTTTCACTACAAGAAAA